TCAAATATTTTTTTTACCATAGCTCTCTTCAGCAGCAGAACCTTAGGATGACATAGCCTTAAAGTTAAGGTCGAGGTTCAAATGAGGAAAGGCTTACGGTGGATACCTACGCACCCAGAGACAAGGAAGGGCGTAGTAAGCAACGAAATGCTTCGAGGAGTTGAAAATAAGCATAGATCCAGAGATTCCCGAATAGGTCAACCTTTCAAACAGCTACGGAATCTATGGGCAGGCAAGAGACAACCTGGCGAACTGAAACATCTTAGTAGCTAGAGGAAAATAAAGCAAAAGCGATTCCCGTAGTAGCGGCGAGCGAAATGGAAGCAGCCTAAACCGTGAAAACGGGGTTGTGGTAGAGCAATACAAGCATGGCTAGGCGGGTTCACAAAATAATCCCCACCTGCCTCACACAATAAAGAATATATATTCCAAATGTGTTCAAATATAGCGACCGGATGTGAACGGAGTTTAGTGCTAAAAATGTTTACTTATCAAACATGAGCTTCAAGTACTTGCACACAATCCCATCTTTGATCCAATCTTTCCTCGAATAGGCGACTTTCTAATGCTCTATAATCGGAATCAACAACATCAAAGGATAAAAATTATCTCATTTCAAATATTACCACCAACATGTTATACATTGTGTTCCACTACGTTCAGTCATCAATATCAAACAACACATTACCCTCAATTGGTGGTGTTGCTCGAGTTTGAGAAACTTTTTTTTGATGAAAATCTGAAGTAATCACAAAGGCTAAAGCACGCCAAACTTCTGCAAAGTACCAAAAATACAACTTTTGACCAAAAGTTGACGAACAAGGATCGGTAGATCACAAGTGGAAAGATAACGCCAAATAGTATTAAAAACATTACCATCAAATGATTTGATCGATGGTGAGAAAGAATACCTTTCTCTCCAATAGAGATACATGCATCAAGAGAACCGTTAAAAGTGTTAAGGTTTTTAGAATGTATTTGTGTAGCCTCCAATGCCTGGTAATGAAACTTCCGATAAGAAACACTACACATACCCGACATGTCGAGCAGACCTCCACGTGTCCAGACTAAGAGATATGCGATTGGGAATTGCTTTGATGGATCTATTAAGAGCTTCCCTCCCTGCTGGGTAGATTTCCAAGCATTACCTCAAGGTTAGAGTTTAGGTTGAACTTAAGCGAGAAGTTTTTAGCTAATGAAACAAACTCAAGACTCTATATCAAGTCGATGTTCACACATGATAACCATCCAAACAAGGTCGTCGCAGCGACCAAGTAGGTTCGGAGCTGAGGTGGAGCATGTGGGTCAGATTCCTCGATTACAGCCTTGGTCATTATTTTCCCCACCAGTAACAACAGTGAAACTTTCAGAAATGCGATATTAAATTGACCATTCACTCAATTTTCTGAACCATGAGGTAAACTTCTCTTACATGCCATCTTAGAATCATCATTTACCGTGTCATACAGGTATCAAACTTTTTTCTACACAGATTTATGAGAGCATCGTCCATATTTGGCGAGTGAACCATTGATAAGTTAAAAAATTGAAAATGTTGCAAATCCAAAAACCGTAGTTGAGTGATGCTCGGATAATACTACAAAAGGACAATTATAAAATTAACACAAAAAGCGGATAATACTACCAAAGGACAATTATAAAATTAACACAAACGTAAGGGAAGAAAGCAGAGGAAAATGGACGAAAAAGCAATAATTAAGTTTGGACATGAGAATGAGGAAGAAGCCAATTGATTTTGACTTCTTTCATTTTCATGATAACCTAAAGACTTGCTTACCTTGATGGAGTCTGACAATATAAATTCACGGATTTTAATCACAATATTCGCATTGAAATTTGAAATGATAAATAAGAGAGAAAATCAATTAATCATACCTTACTTGCAAGTTGCAGCTGCAAAGGGTTTGAGATGTCGCTATTGGAGTCTGTACTCTTCGCACAAGAAGATTTGGGGGCAACTTGATGGTTGTTTTTAATTGGGCCCTAAATCATCTTGCGCGAAGAGTCCAGACTCTGACGACGACGTCCCAAACCGAAAGAAAGGTATTGTTAACTGATTCTCTCTCTCATTTGTCATTTCAAACTTCAATGCGAATATTGCGATTAGAATCTGTATTTTCAGAGTTCATGAATGAAATAAGCAAGTCTGTCTATAACCATGAAAATGAAAGAAGTCAAAAATCGATGGGCTCATCCTCATTCTCAAATCAAAATTTCATTGTTCCTTTTCCACCCATTTTCCTCCGCTTTCTTGGAAGTCTACTGTCAGTTTGTGTTAATTTTATAATTGTTCTTTTGCAGTATTGTCCACATAACTTAACTACTGTTATTGGATTTGCAACATTTTACTTCACATTCTTTTATTAGGTGTTCACTCTCCAAATATTAGCGTAGAAAAAAGTTCGATATTTCCCTGGTGGTTCAGAAAATAGAGTGAATAGTCAACTTAAAGCACCACGTTTTTTAAGGTTGCATTGCTGTTCCTGGTGGGGAAAGTAACGGCAGGTTATAGCCAAGATGTTTCACCCACGTGGCTCCACCTTAGCTCCGAAGGTACTCAGTCGTTGCGACGACCTTGTTTGGATGACTATCATGGGTGAACATCAACTTGATATCATCGAGATTCCTAAGTTTGTTTCATTGGCTAAAAAGCTATCACCTAATTTCAACCTAAACTCCAACATTCTATAGAGATATTGCTTGAAAATCTACCCAGCAAGAATGAGAAGCTCTAGATAGATCCATCGAAGCAATTCTCAATCGCATATCACCTAGTCTGAACACAGAGGTCTCCTCGACACGTTGGGTACATGTTTCTAATTGGAAGTTTCATTGAAAACCATAGAACCCTTGACACTCTTAAGGATGCTCCTGAGGTACAATTGGAGATTGAAAAGAAAGGTATTCTCCCACCAACGATCTTCAATGGGTAATGTTTTTAATACTATTTGGCGTCATCTTTCTACTAGTAATCCATGTACCCTTAATCATTAACTTTGGATCAAAAGTTGTACTTTTGAAACTTTGACTAAATTGCGAAGATGTGTTATGCATCAGAGAAAATGCAATAACAGAAGATCAGCGTGCTATAGTCTTTGTGATTACTTACGATTCTCATAAGGAAAAGTTTCTCGAACTTGAGCAACAACTTCACGTGCCAATTGAGGATAATGTGTTGTTTAATATTGATGACCGAACGCAGTGGAACACAACCTATAACATGTTGATGACGGCTTTTGAAACGAGATAAGTACTTTCTCCTTGATTCTGATTATAAGGCATTGGAAAGCCCCCATCTAAGGAAGATTAGAACAAAGTTGGGATTGTGTGTGAGTACATTAATCTCTTGTTTGATGCCATAAATATTTTTAGCATCAATCCCCGTTCACAGCTGTATTTGAACCCATTTGGAATATATATTTCGAATTGTGTGAAATAGGTGGACATTATTTTGTGAGTCAATTGAAAATAGCTGTGGTAGAAAATTTTGAAAAATATTTGAAAGATTGGAGCATAGTTTTAGGGGTGGTTATTGCTATGGATCTTTTGAAGATGGTTGAATTTAACTTCCATCAAGTACAAAGATGGTTGAATTTAACTTCCATAAACTGTACTTAGGTAAATTTAATGTCTCTAACAATGTGCCCATAATGACCCTATCGCCCTTACCATTGTCTTTCGAGTTCAATTCCACTGCCTTGTAACCTTCCATTAAGTCTATAAAAGAATGACATCGAAATAAGAAGAAAATATAAGAGATGAGCTTAGAAATTAGTACACAGTTCAAAAGCTATATATTAATGAGGCAAAAATACAAAGATATTTCAAAGAAAGAGATCAAGGAAGAATCTCATGTTAGAGTCTTAGTACAAAACAGAGGAATTAGTACCGTGAGATTTCAACTCAAGTGGTAAATTAGCAAATTAATCTTTCAAAACTAATTTTTATTTTTCTGTTTAAAAAACAAATGGAAAAGATATTTTATTTATTGTGTCATTTTAATTTTTTTTTCTTCCATATAATAATTTAAAAACATAACACATCAAAATCAGTTAAACTAAAAAATTAATTAATAACTATAAATGGACAATTAATTTGAAAACATAAAAAGATAACATTTGAAAACAACAAAATACTGCCACCATTTTCTGCAATTTTTATCTTAAAATATTATTCCACTACGGTTTTTTACATAAAAAAACATACATATTCTTAAGAATAGAAACTAATTTTAAACCTGATTTCCAATCAGAAGCTTAGAGAAAGGCTTAATGTTATTTTAGAACCCTGATCAGCGTTAGAGGTGAGCAAAGCACCCTGAAATACTGATCCAGTCAATAAAAGCCAACCGAACCAACATTGGTCGGTTGGTTTGATGAAGAATTCGATCAGAATCGGTTTTTCATTTAAAAAACTGACTTGTAAGCCAATCGGTTTGGTCGGAAGAGTGATTTCCAACCGAACCGACCGATATTTATTAAAAAAAAAAAAGAGGACAGACAGCATTTCATGTGCCGCTGGTTTCCAATGTTCTATTAAAAAAAATAATATTTCTTTTTTCTTTATTCTATTCTTACTCTCCAGTTTTTTCAACTTCAACTTCAGCCGTCGTTCTCTCTTTTTTATTTCTTTTACTTATCTCCGTGCTCTCATCACTAATCTTCTTCATCTTCTTCTTCATTCTTCTTCGTTCCACCTCTTCTTTCATTTTTCTTCTTTCTCTTCTTCTTTCATTTCTCTTCTTTCTTTCATCTCTTTCAGTTTTTTTTTTCTCAGGGAAGGCCGACTACAGCTCCTGTGCCGGCAACTTTATATGAAAAAAAAGTTGTTACAAAAACCAACGAACCGACCGACCAAACCGACTAGTTGATCGGTTGGTGCAAGTAACCATAACAGAGGTAGTCGGTTACTCGATTTCCATAATAAGAAACCGACTAGGTCGGTTTTCAACATTGGAGTCAGCCAAAAACCTACCTGACCAACCGATGCTCACCCCTAATCATCACATATCGAGTGCAGAGCGAAAACTAGAATTACCTGTTAATATTTAAATTTGTCAATATTACCCCTGAAAGAACAGAAGTAGATGTGCATTGTTAAGAACTATAACATCGAAAATCAGTAATAAACATGACAAATAGTGAGACTAGAATGAGTTCTACATAACCACCCAACATAGAAATGCATACCTGAAGTCCAAAAACAAAGTGTAGAAAGTCAAGAAAATTCTGCAGGCAACTTTGAAAGGCCACTGAAATACTTTAAAGCTGACACTGCTGCTTTCACCTCACCATAAAGTTGGGTTTCAAGACAACAGACAAAAAAAGGGTAGAACATTCACATTCCAAACTAGAAAATTGTAGTATAAAACACCAACATACCTCGCCCATCGCTTGGAGAAAAACTGATCATCATTTGGATTTTATTTCAACTGAAGTAATCCTTAGATAAATGATAGGAACAAGTGGATAAATGGTATGATAACGGAGTGAAAGAGAAGAAAGATGTAAGAGTAAAGAGATGAAGAGAGAGAGAAAGTAGGAGAACAAAAGAGAGGGAAAAATTGATTGAAAAGAAAGAGAACAAAAAGGGTGGCTAATAGAGAGCTAAAATAAAATAAAAAAAAAATTATGTTTCACGTGAGTTATATTTATATAAAATTATATATACTTTTATTTATTATTATTATATTTTACTTTTTAACCATCCTTTTATCAATTTCTTCTCCTTTTCATTTTCTCTCTTCCTCTTTCTTCTTCCATGTTCTTCCCCTCTACCCTTTCATCTTTCTTATCGTATTTCAGCCACAAAACCACTCCTTTAAACTGTGTTTTAGTTTCGAATTGAGTACCTTTTAAAAACCGACCAAACCGACCGATTGACTAGTCAGTTAAAATTTAAACGGTCGGTTTGTAAAGAGACGGAAGTATAAAGAAAGTTGCTAGGTCGGTTTTTGGCATCGTAGGCACATTTTTTTTTAGTTTCGGGACGTATTAATTATATTTAAAATATATAAAAACTTTTGATAAATACATTTGTTTCATTCTTATAAACTCATTTCGTTTTTTTAATTAAAACATGTAAATTTAATATATTATAAATTATATAATATTGTAAAATACTAATTCTAACAAAATTTATAACATTTATATTAATAAATTAATTAATTATATAATATTTGCAAAACATCTTGAATTTGTTTATTTCAAATGGAGAATCAATTTTCAAATCTGCTACCAAACACATAACTGAAAACAAACAATACTCTTGGTTTCAAATTTCTTTTTAGCAGCCTCGTCCAATTTTCGTAAAAGAATGAGGGTGGCGGTGGCTAAGGCAACAAAGAAAAGGGAAGAGAAGAGATTTAGGTAAGGGAAATTGACAAAAACAACATTTAAAAAGTTTTCACTTTGCTCAAATAACCTGTACTTTAAAAATTTACTTGTTAAAACTAAATCAGTAGAACGATGTGAAATTACTGTAATATCCTCATTTTTCGAAAAAACTCATTTAATGACCACCAACCGAACCATAACTTGGACAAGTAAATAATTAACCTTGCCCGCGTTACATAAAATTTTAGAATTTATTACTAACCAACTTGTACCTACAAAATTACTTGTACCAACCAATTTGTACTTCCCATTAATATTTTGGATAACAAAAATCTTAAAAGTAAATGTTTCCTTGGATGTTATCTTCTCAGGAGCTCGTACAAATTCCAAAAAGTTAAGAATTTTTAGCTACTTTGAAGAAATTATTTTTATTGTCTACGGCATTCCACATTTTTATGATCGTTTAACTTTAATGTTTGTTTTGCAGGTTCAATACATTTTAACGAGGTCTGTTCTGCTCTAACTTTCTTTTTTGCTTTCTGTTATGGATTGATAAATTCATAAGTCGTTGATATATATTTTTGAACAATTTTTATGTGTTTGGTTAAAAATCGTAGCGTTCTAATTAGTTTGAAGCTATTCTGACATATTGATTTAACGACACCCCAAGTTTTTGCACAAGGTATAAATTTATGACATATTCAAAGATTTAATTAAAAATCTGTTTCCAAAATTCCAAAACTTGATTTATTAATCCAAACAAATTAAATCTTAAAATAAAAATAACTCGAGTTTTCAAATTCCAGGCCCAATACCTATACCTTAGGAGGGAGCTCTTTGGCAGACTCAAATTGCCTAGCTTAACCATAAAACCACTTTCATCCAAATTGACTCTGTGTTAATAAAGATAATTATCCTATCTTATATAGCTATGATCACATCTTTCCACAGCCCAGACTTTATTTGCATTTACCTTACAAATTTAAAATTTAAGAACCATAGAGTTTAAATATAAAAGTCTCAAAATCAAGTTCGAATACCAAAAACTCCAGCAAACATAAACATAAAATAGTCCAAAGATTCTCCAAGAATACTAAAAAATTTCAGTAAACATAAACTCATATGGAAGAATGGTCAAATTTCGAAAAACAAACCCAAAATCTCCACAAAACAAAACTTAATCTTATGCGATTTCAATTTATAATCAAATATCATACAAAATGTTTTCTCGTCTTAATAATATTTATAATCAGCCATCTATTGCCTGCCACCTGTCCACATACAATGAGACTTTATATAAAATAATAAAGTAGTTCAATAAACAAATCAAGTTTTGTTAGTAAGCCGAGTCAATCTCCATCTCACTTATCGACCTAACTGTCATGAGGTCGAGCCGACCTTAAAGAGTGCCAGTAGGTGCGAACCCAACGAAGATGTTCTTTTGGACTGCTGTCGCATTATCCGAATATCGGAGAGCTATTGGACTGTTGTCGCCTGTCGGAGTCCATCTCTATAAATAGAGATCATTCATCTCATGCGACGTACGCAAAACTATTCACTTTATAATAATGTACGCAATCTATATTATTATAAACATGTGCCAATTTGAGCCTAGCTCGATTTGTTAAGCATATGACCAAAAGGTCCTTAATTCAAATCTTCATCCCCACATATTGTATTGAAAAAAATAGTAGGATAAACATACACTGAGTCCAAAATGTTAATATAATACATACCTTTTATCGGTATTTATATAAAACTATTAGTTTAAATTTCTTCTATTAAATAATTTAGAATGCAACATTAGTGTTAAAACACGGATTAAAATATCACTCTTAAACGGTAAGTTTAGTCGCTAAGCTTCTGGATGCATGTCGAGTCAATAAACTTTAAATAACGTCTACCAATAATACTATAATTATGAGTATAATATGTTGTGAAATTTTTAATTAACTTTGTGTTAATAAATCCCTTAATTTTAAAAAGTGTCTAATATATTTTTAAATTTTTGATAAATTTAAAAATTAAATTGTCAGATACAAAAAATTTCATGTATAAGATTAGTTAACTTTAAGAAAGGTCAAATAACTTTAAGCACTGAATTGTTAAATTCGATAAATCTTCATAAATTTTTTTTGGCTAAATATGGAAAACCTAATTTGTGTGGTTTTCTGGAGTTATAAATATTAAAAGAAGAAGCCCGAAAGAGGAGTGCGGGAGCCACTGTTTTGTTGGAATCGTTTGGGAAAAGTTAAGACGATGAATTCGAAGAACATAAGTTGGGAGCTTCCACCAGATTTGATTCGTTCTCGAAGTGTGTAAAGCATGGAACAATCTGGTCTTAACTTGTAAGTTTCATTCTCCCATCTCAATTTCCAACCACTTCTTTTTTGCCCGTTGTTATCAGTCGTTTGATCGCAATCTCCATTGCATAACCTTGGATTCTAAACATATGAGAGAGATGAGCAGTGTTGCCAAATTTAGTTTCCATCCTGATTTTTTTTCTTCGTTTTCTTTGCCTCCGCTGTATCTCAATTGTCAATTCTTGCAATGGACTCCTTGGTTCTTATATTTAACATAGAACCAACACCAATATAACCAACACGCTAGCCTTTGAAGTTGAAGTTCGCATATTAAATCCCATGACAAATGAGTATTTCAAACCTCCTATTCCAAATGCGAATAAATGAGTACAAATGAGCAAGACTCTGCTATAATAACGATAAATATGCTATCTTATTCAAGAATTTCACATTTGGCACAAATCGCAAATGCATGTGCATCCCGTGGGAAAGCACTGTGTTTACTTTAATGGAGGCCTTTATTGGATTGGAAACCACATTATACCTCCCAAAAATGTATTATACCGCTTGGATGTAGAAAAGGAGGAATTGCAGAAAATTTCTTTTCCCATATATGGCAATTATTGTTCGATTAGTCTTTAATTGACACTCTATTTAACTTTAGCCTCGAGAGACTTGAACCTTGAATACCATGCTTACTACGTAGTCTCGAGAGACTTGAACCTTGAATACCATGCTTACTACGTGTGGAGGATGGACGGAGATTTTTCGTGGACTAAAGCATTTTATGTGCTCTTACCAAAAGAATATTTGAATCAAAAACCACTTCGTAACCATCAACTTCAACTTATTAAAGCCTGTGAAGATGGAAAGATCTTGAGACCAAGATGTTAATATTATGGAAGTTCATCAAATCAACTCCTTCAATTTTGAATCTCTCCACAATCCACAAGATTTTAGCAAGGGATGCTTGAAGTATAGTGTTTATTTGTTTATATATCTTTTTTAAGATTAGATAAAATCCATGTTCTGACTTATCTAGGGGTAAGGTTTTTTGTTTTTTTGTTTTTCTATCCATCTAGGGTTAACAAAGAGTTTTAAACTTTAGCGTTTTTTTTTCTTTTTTTTTTTCTTCGTACAACATATTGAGAGGGATTCGAACTCACTCTTTGTTGAGGTATATATCAATTATCGCTGAGCTATGCTCACTTTGACGGTTTTTTTTCTTTCTAAATGATTATGAAGGAAATAAAATGATAAGTCAGCTTTAGTTTTTTTTGGTTCACATGATCCCATTCAACGATCATATACTGTCCTCGTCAAGCTCATGATTGCTCAAATTAATGGCTAATCAAAATTATAAATTTAAGTATATAACCTGCTTCATCATAAAAACAGTAAATTTAAACAACTCAACCAAAAATAAAATAAAAAACTACTAACTATTTTTCTTTATTAAAGAGTAGGAAGCAGAAATAAAAAAACAAAAAACGTCGAGTCTTAAATAACCTAATAGACACTTTTTGAAGTTAATTACTAAGTTTAAAAGTCCAGAAACTAAACTTGTAAATTATCCCGAACATAAAAATTAAAAAATTACAATTAAGATTATGCCCATACAGCCAATATAAATGGATTTACAAAAGTAAATAAGTTAAGTACTTACAAAACTATTTGTCAAAATCAAATGCTTACAACCATGTACCATTATATCAACAAGTTTAACCTTTATTTTAGTTAACATAATGATTTAAAATAATAATTGATTAATAAAAATGAATCAAAAGAAGTAGGGCAGGGACATTGCGTAGTGAATAAGATTCAATAATGTTATTAATAATAATGTTTAAATACAAGAAAAACCCCATCATCAACCATATTCAACT